TATATCCTGCCCTTCTTAAGATGGTACCTGAGCCAAGGTGGCGCAGTGGTTAAATGCAGCACTGCAGGCTACTGCTAGATCAGCAGGTCAGCGGTTCAAATCTCACCGGCTCAGGGTTGACTCAGCCTTCCATCCTTCCGAGGTGGGTAAAATGAGGACCCAGATTGTTGGGGGCAATATGCTGACTCTCTGTAAACCGCTTAGAGAGGCCTGAAAGGCCTATGAAGCGGTATATAAGTCTACTGCTATTGCTATTGCTATTGCTAAGCATCCAACATTTTTTATGACCTTATGTGTGGTAACTGCATAACAGGAACCTAGTATTATGGGTTCATTTATGTAGTTATTTCATAGGGGGAATCTTCTAGTCCATGCAATAACCAAAATGTTTTATTTGCATCACTTTGAAAGCATATGCTGGATTAATGCTAACAAAGTGTCTATCTTTATTGAAGAGACACACTTTGAGCTTGGCTAAAAAAAGTGTAAGAAAACTTTTAAGGATTATTTAAGCAACATTTTCTGTAATCGTGCAATGGCTCAGTAGTTAAGACTTGGCTGGAAAACCGATAGCCCATGTTCGAGACCCAAACATCACACATGGGGAAGAGCACTAGTCTATGCCTAGTTCCTGCCCACCTACCAGTTAGCAGCTATGCCTAGCAGCCCACCTAACATTGTGTAAAGGAAGAAAATAAAGTTCATATTTTCCATGTTGTTTTACATATCTCTGCCAAATCGCCCTATACCCACCTTTTTTCTACGCCCCAGCGGTCTAACTTCTGAAATATTTTTAAAAGGAGAATGGAACAGTTGCATTAGGATGGAGTGATGTTTTAACCCAATCCCAAAACACACATAGTTTCCACTATGTGGAAACACAACAAAATGAGCTAGTTCTACTTTATTACTGTATATTATCAGAATCTTGCAAGTCCAAAAGTACAAATCTCCTATTGTCTCTTTTTACTGCCTGATTAGTTAAGGTGGATACTTTCTAAGTTTCTTTCTCTCCCCTTTATTCAGCCGCAGGTTCTTCTTTATGTGGTCATTCTCTAGACAGCATCTTTTCCCTTCTCCTTTCCCAAGGTCATTCCCACATACGTATAATTACAGGTGACAGATGTCACAGGCAGATTGTCCTCACATGTTGGCCATTGACTGTAATTAAATAAATTAAGAGATAGCAAATCCGTTAGCTGGCAGCTAAAGATGCTATAATGGCTAAAATGGATTAGATAGCTCCAGTTATGATGAAAAAAGACCAAATGTCCGTCTTTTCCATATCCAAAGTAAGGTTGGCTGGTAATTCTAAAACAAAATTAGCAATTTATAAAAATAGGATTTGCAGGATGATGAATGAGACCAAGGGAAGACTCCCAAAGCATTTAAGGGCACTACCCAGAAGAAGTGCAGAAGAAGAAAAGTGTATTTAATGTCTGTTGTGGAGGTAAAACCATGTTAGCTAAATGATGCAATAAGACATAGTTTATCCCCTCATAGCTGATAGAAATTGGGAAGTTACAAATTTCTGAAAGTCTATATAAGTTGCAAAAGAAGGTAAGAAGAATACTGTTCAGGAGGTTGACATTTTTCATACTTTCAAAACAACTTGCTTACATACTGTGTAATAAAAACTGACCAAGTTAAATTGTTTTAACATTTTGGGTTGCCACAAAAATATGGAGAAATTTCTGATAAGGATATTTTTCCATGTTAGTAAGAATATGTGGTTTTGTTTATAACACTGAGAATATAAGGATCTAAAGAACAATCTCTAAGTCAGACAGCAAAATTTGATTTAAAATGGCCCTAAGCAAACATAGATTTATAGTGACCTTAGTCAAATTTAAGAATTTTTCTAGCAACAAATTATGTTTACAAATCACTCTACCATAAATAAACCTAAGTGTTTATTAGGCAATCCAGAATGTCGGAGTTGAGTTGTTATATGTATGAACATGGGAAGTCCACCCCCAGCCATACAGAAAGAGGACAAACTGTCCTTCTTGATTGTTTGAGAAACAGCTGCTAGGTTTAATCTGAGAACTGGGATTTCACAATTGTTATGATTTAGGCTTGCAGCTTAATTGATCGAAAAGGAATATTAATCCATTCAAAGTCTGGTAGCTTAGAAGCCCAAATGAAAAAATAAAGAAATAAACATGCTATTGGCTTATTATTGACTTTATAATTACTTAAACTTTTGTCTCATATACTGCTTTTAAATGTTACATTATATTAATTATATTATTATCAATATATGTAAGCTATTCTAAAGAAGTAAATATGATAGGCAGGGATGTTCTTCATTAAATTTGTCATGGGACAGTACTCAAAAGTGGCACTTGCATAGTACGTTAACCCAGTGACGTGCGGTGATGTTTATGGCTGGTGAAGCACTGACGTCATCACAATCAGATTTACAAACATTAAAATCCTACAAATTATCTTATCCAATATTTGATTGGCAGCAGTTAACAGGTTATATTTAAAGCCTCATATCAGCATTCTTTACACATACTGTAGCACACAAAAAAGCACATTTAATTGGGGAAAAAATGAAGTTATTATGGGTCTTACCTTTACTTATAAATGAAGTCCATCCGCAGCTCCTTCTGAACAAAAGCATCTATAACTTGTTGGTAGAATTTTTCATTGTCTTCTTTTAGTTTTAAAAGTCTCTCTGACTTGATGGCCAGGGAAGAAAGTTGTCTTTGATGTTGTCGCGCTCTGTGGCTGTTACTTACTCTGCTGCTGCTGAGTCACAGGAAGAACGAGCACCCTCTACTATGAGGCACGAGAAATACATGTCTCACCTAGTCTGACTTTTTAGGCGTTTTATGATCGCTCAGCGCAAGAAACACGTTCCACACATAGTTGTTGACAAAAAACACTCCATTTTATATTATATACATCAGCTAAACTATTAAAAGCGACATACAGAGAGGCAGCAATACGGTCTTATTACAGATCATGTAAAACAGTTAAGCATGGTGAGGCAGCAGCTAGCTCAGCCTCATATCAGCTCTCGCCTGAGAGGCTGAGCTCCCTGCAGCCTCACCGCAAGCTCTCGCCTGACTAGTTGAATGGTAAATATGAAAATTCTGCAATTTTAATACCAAATAATGTAAAACTGGTGAAGTTAAATGGAAAATAACTTTATGGTACAGATCAGTAGATAAATACAAACATTTAATTTATTTTTTCCTTTTACATTTTTTTTCTTTTCAAGATGAGAGGAGGCTGTGCCTCACTTGCCTCACCTGACTGCACGTCACTGCACTAATCACATATTGACCAGTTCTCGTTTTTATTTTCTTTCAGTTTTATATGATTCACAGAATTCCAGAATGAATGCATTTTCTCCAACAATCCACATCAATGTACTTTAATTTAATGTATGATTCCTTGTCTTTGTTTTTTTTTTTATTTGGACTACTAAAAAGCTATTTTCTCTCCTTTTATTAATGATATAGATAACAGTTTAGTTGATTAATCCCTCTACTTTTCAGCCAACATTAATTTTTAATTTATTAATTAAATAGTAAATTTCAATCTCATTTCTATCCCCTTAATTTCTTCATAGACATAAAGAAAGAAAGATCTTCATTTTTCTGAACATTGCATAAACTCGATGTATGATGTATGGATATATGAGGTTTCAGTCATATGAGGTGATTTTTTTTCACTAGCAATTTATATCACCTCCTAGAGTCACCCAACCATTATTTTATATCACTTAAACAATGGCTGAGTGTTGCTATGAAGATGCTAGCAATCTCTAGTATGGAAATGACATGAAATTTCATGAATAGAATTGACCTGTATTACAGCAGCATGTTTTGCTATATAATATTGCAATATAGAATTGTTAACTATCAAATTTCAAAATAATTTTGCATTCTTGCTGCCCTCATAAAACTAGCCTGGACTTTTGAGGGGAAAAAATTAATTGATTTATTTTTAATACTTAGATTCTCACATATACTCAACAAATAATTGTTTTAATAGGTGATAACTCAATGTTGTTCAGATTAATATAATAAATATAATAAATGCGATTATACCTTCCTCAATATTCATGATAAATTTATTACTGTTGTTTTTTTCATTTAAAAGTAAACAAAATATCAATGCTATTTTTAAGAAAAGAGCACTACCTTTTCTCAATGAAATATGAATTGTATTTTCACATATAGCTCTTTGTAAGTAACATAAGGAATTAGAAAATTATTAGACTCAAACATTTCTATTCATAAAAAATGCTTTTGAATTATTTTCTCCTGCTGTCAACTGCATCTACTCTATAAGATATTGTTTAAAATTTCCATAAATTTCACTTTCAATATAACTTTACAAGCATAATTTTCAAAACTTATGACATTGAGTAGCATTATTCAATAAGCTTTGACATTTTGAAGAATTTCTATGCATAATATAAATACATTTACATCCATTTTTTATTTTGTAATTTATTGTGAGAATAAAAATATAAGGAAGTGTACCTGAATATTACTTTGTTTTCTACAGTATGCCAGTTCAGAAATGTCATTGTATGAAAACCATATGGGGTAGATATATCCTCAGTGTCATTAAACATCATTTGAAAAACATGTATGAAGCAGTCAAAGATTATTAAATGATGGAAAATAGAAGCTTGAATAGAACTTTGGGAATTACAAGATCATATTAAATACCTCAATCATATATGTCATGTGGAGACATATATTCCATTTATTATAAATAAGTAGAGGTAGAGTGCAAACCAGACCAGAAATGGTTTGCATTTAGAAAGCCCAAGTTACAGTAATCTTTTCCAATAAAATGTCAATTGGAACACATTCATAAGACGACAAAAAATTGCAACGTTTTGCATGCATATGAACAGAAAAAGAGTTTATATAGTAGCAGAATAATTGTAAAAACATCACTGAACATCTGTTCGTTAATATGTGCTCTATGTAATAACAAACTCTAATTTTTGGACTCTATTCCAGCCTAGCTTTGCATCCTGATAAAACCCTTGTGGCTACAGGACAAGTTGGCAAGGACCCTTATATCTGCATCTGGGATTCTTACAATGTACAGGCTGTCTCTGTCCTAAAAGATGCACATACCCATGGAGTTGCCTGCTTGGCTTTTGATTCAGATGGCCAGGTGTGTATTTATTGAATTTATATTTCTGTTGTACTTAATGCTCTAGTAGAGTGGAGCCAAAATATCAATTTCCCTGTTTTTTTAAGCATTCTGGTCTTATAAAATGAGAGTGTTACAATTTTCTATAATCCTTTGGGAAGAGTAATATTTATAAAATATTTGTGTTACAGCTTACTTAAACTTACGCAGTAACAACAAGATAACCTAGAGTAATCTACATTTAAATTTATTTTTCTGATAAGAGGGGTTAAGAACATAAAAAGAAGCTTGTACTACAGATTAGATGTAAAATACAAAGAATTTATTTTTTCCACTATACTATTAGAATGAGATTAGTGTAAAGCTTAGTGCCAAAGGGTATAATCATGTGATTTACTTGATGTCACATTTCAGAAATAAAACACATTTCATAAATAAAGCAACCAGGTTCCAATACCACCAAAATATCAGTCAGGATCAGACAAAAAGAAAGAACAATCGGAGATCAGCCCTCACCAACCTACACTAATAGGAAATCAGTTCATCATCTAAAGACTAATAAAAACAAACTGTCCTTCCTTAATTGTTACTTTAACTTTAAATAAGCTGGTGAAGGTGCTGGTGAAATTTCAGGAACCTTGCTGTCTTGCCTATGGTCACTAAACCCTGAAACTCAACAATGCCCAACAGTGAAATATTATACCAGTAATTTTTTTTAAAATTTCACCTGTTTTAATTTTACATCATTAGTGGTTGATGACATTTTCAACAGTTCTAAAAGTATCAGCATTGAATATTTGGTGAAAATTCAGCCTGACAGTGATAGCAGGGAAAGAGCAGCAATCTAAATCTAGAGCATTGCAAATAGTTCCTGCAGTAAGGTTCATTTTAAGTGCCTCTGTCTCACAACTGAAAGTGAGCTGTGTAAGAGAGAGAGAGACTGCTCTTTGAAGCCCTGATTCTAATATTACTGAGCTAGTTAGACCAGTGGTTTGATTCAGCTAAAGAATCTTCTACCAGAAATAAAAATATTCCCAAGAGGTAGGTGACGTATTTGGGAGGAAGGAATCATTTTGTGAAAAAGAAATTACCCTCCTGCATGAGACAACTAGTCGTCAGTTTTTGTTAGTTTTGGTTCCTAAAGTTGTATTAAAGTTTGCATATCCAGATTCTGTTTGCTTGGGTGGATGACTTATTTTAAGGCATTTACTTTTTATATTAGCAAAGCAAGATGTATTATGTCTGTTGCCATGTGTTTCTAAAATATGAAAATAACAAGGAAGCTGCTATAGATTGTTCTGAAACATATTAAATTCAATTTACAAGCTTATTTGGGAGGAAGGAATATTTGACTATGCTGAATAGTGAAGCCTATACTGCATTTGAATATTATACAACCCTTTCAGCATCCCTTTTCAACCCATTGATGCATTGATGTATTGTAGTAAGTTACTCCTGAAGTGATGTTCATTTAAAAACTGTTGTATGTTATTTTTCCTAAGCGTTTATCTTCAGTGGGGTTGGATGCCAAAAACACAGTCTGCATTTGGGATTGGAAGAAAGGAAAACTACTGGCATCAGCTACTGGCCACTCAGATAGGGTAATCAGCTAATGAATTTGCTGTATATTTCTCTTGTAATGTTGCATGAGTGTGTCTTTTGTTTGTATCAAGAATACAAATTAGCTTGTAAAATTCTTTATGGGAAATGGTGTTATTTCATATAATGGAGGGGTAATTTAACAAGTAGGATTTTTGCCTGGACTATGTCACTGAGAACCAAATATAATTTGGGAGTGTTTTGTTGCTGCTGCTTCTGTTATTTTACTGAAAACAGTTGCTAGGCTACTTATTTGATTGTAAAAGGTTAATGTCCCATCCTATCTTAGTTTGATTCACTTTTGGGTTTCATACATTTTATTTCCAAGTTATTACCAGCCACTTTAAGAAAAATATAATCTATGATATGAATATATGGATTCCATCTTCTCTTTTTTGCTCCATGGAGTTAAAGAAATTTGGAATGTTGTGGTCAAGTAAATAGAATAGGGAAAGTTAAACTTTCCCCTCTGAGCATCTCTCCTTTGAACCGGAGGGTGATCACAATATTAATGAAATAGCTGTGAAATTATGGAGTAAATTACCCATGGAGTATATCTATTCCATAACTGGTGATTAAAAGTGTACATTTTCATGGGTATATCTTGAATATCCAACATACAAGGCTTCCTTCACATAAAGTGTCACTTAAAACAGAAAGAGAAAACTTGAGAGCCAGTTTGGCGTGGTTGGAAAGCAACAGGTTAGAAACCAGGAGACTGAATTCTATTCCCACCTTGGATACAAAGTCAGCTGGGTAACCTTGGGCCAGTCTTTTTCTCTCAGCCCAACCACTTCTGAAAAACCTAGGTAGGCAGTGAGAATTAGACATGATTGGAAGGAAATAAACACACTGTGAGGGTT